ATAAACTCAGCTGAGTTATCGCTCGCAGACGTGTCGTCATCTCCGAATGCTGACCATACATACATATACATATATACATATATATATATATATATGTGAATGCAGGCAGCTTCATAGTTTTTCCAGCTTCTGTTTGGTTTGGCTGGGATCACGTCTGTCCCTCTGTCTGTCTGTCTGTCTGTCTGTCTGGAACTGCTTATGAATAAAGTTGTTGGCCTGTCAATACACACACACACACACACACACACAAACACACACACACGTCTGCTAGCCATTGCCATCATCAAGAGGGCCCCCCATTCAATTGGGGTTATTTGTCGCTCTATCTAGCACGGCTACGCTTTGTTGACTTTTTGGCTCTGAATGGCCCCAGCGTCTATTCAATTTTTGTTTTTTTTTCGTTTTTTTGTGTTTTGTGTACATCGCTAAACAACCCAACCACAGAAGACCCTCAAGCAATTTGAAATGAAAAGTTGGCTTGCCATATAGACATACATATTGTAAGAAGACAAAATAAAAGAAAACAAGGGGCAAAAAAATGATATGTGCCGCCCATATTTGTAGGCAGTAAATAGCAACAAGGCACGGTGACGAAATGTGTCCTTTGACATTTGATAATCCTGATAATAATCCTGGCCAGCAACGCACACAGAAGGCGGGTGGATTGGCTTTTCAACAGCTTTTCGCTTAATGGCCTGCTGCATTATTTAGCACATCTCGCAAGCCAATAAAAATTGCTTTAAAATACATTCCCGTCAACTTGTTGACTTTAAGCCGTAGACAATGCAGCGCATTAAGCGTCCTGCTTGCCAGGCTAACAAGGATGTGCCAGGCGGTAATTACGCTCTACCATAAAAAAGCAGCATTATACGCTTTTTATCTAGGTTAGCATTTAGCTCGGCGGGAAGTCTAAATTGTTGCGAGTATCAAAAGTATTCATTTAATTATTAAATTTGTTTCTTTATTTCAAATGTGTTTTAATTGAACAAAAAATATGTTTATAGTTATAAAAGTTAGTTTATCAACAAAGCCAGCCAATTCTGAATCCTTTTCTATTTTTAGTAGGATTTAATTTGAAATTTGAATTAAATTCTTATTTAAATGCAGCAATAACTAGAGAACAATGAAATTTATCTATTTTTTCAATATTTTTATTAATTTTATTTTAATAATTTATATTAATGGGCCATATTCAAAATTTACCATATATTTTTTTTAAATATTTTATTGTTCATTTTTTATTTTAATAATATATTAGATTGTCAAACCATATTCAAATTTACCCATTTTTATTTTGTATTATTTTATTATACATATTTTAGTTTATTATTTTATATTATAATTCATATATTTTAGTCTTTGTTATTATTATTATTCCTTACTTCGAATTTTTACATATCTTTATCTAATTTAACCGATTTTAAACTCTACTTGTAATATTTCTAACTTGATTGGAAGCACAAATAGAATAGACAGAGAAAACAAGAATATGTCTATATACGAATATGAAGTTTCAGTTACGAATCTTCCTTTCGAACCAATTGTAGACCACAATTACAGTCTACCTATCTTATTGAGCTTATTGAGTAAACGAAGCTAACTATAAATTGAAGAGCATCTCAAATTCGTCTAGTCGGCATTTTTCACACTCAATTACAAAGCTGGCACATGTGCCCGGGCCTGTTGAATTGGCGTTTTTCAAGTTTACCCGCGACGACTTTTACTTTACGCCCAGCATCTTAATTTACTTTTGCACTCAGGCAGCTGGAAGAAAGAAGTGCAGACCCGGCCTAAAACAACGGCAGGGAGAGTGGAGCGGGGAGGAGGAGGGGCAGGTGGGGGAGGGGGGGTTTGGGTGTAGGAGTTGCAAAGAATTACGGCAATTTCCTGCACAATTTCTTGTGGTTGAACTTGCCAGGCAGCAGCGTATGTTAACAGACGAGACCGAGACACACACACACTAACACACACACAAACACAAATACACACACACAGGAACACACACATGTATAGTTTTTTAGCTAGCGCTCAGCAGTGCAGTTAATTATAATTAAGACGAGTTAACTAACCACTTGCCAGGCACTCGAAGAGCTCGGCTGCTGCTGAAAGAGAGAGGGGGGGGGGGGGGGAGGGGGAAAGGGTGTGTGTGCAATTTAAATTTGTCAGCAGGCTGTTGTTATTTGTTGGCTTTAATTAAAGCTGCGTTCATTAAAAAATGTTTGTTGCCAGCAGCGCCCCAAAAAGTAGGCCACAAAAAGTGTTGCATATTCAAAGGCTCGACGGTTATTCAATACGGCATTCGGATTTGGCATGGCGTGTGGCACGTTTGCCGTTGCAAACTGTTGTTGTGGCTGCAACAATGGGGCATGTTAGCCGTCAAGGAAGCTGCGAGCTGTTATGCAAAGCCGCCAGCGGCGACATTCCTTCATTTGCAAGGACAATGCGACAACGGGCCGCAGAGCAGGAGGGATGCGGTGGCAAAATAGAAAGCGTTGAATGAATGCAACGGCTGACTGAATCTGGGCAGACAGTCGGTAGCTGCGCGGGGATGGGGAGGGGTGGGGCGGGGGTGGGGGGGAGTGGCAGCATACACCGATGACAGCCGCCAGGAATGCTATTATAATAAATAAAGCGCCTTTCACTCATAACTGCCGCACAATGAAGCACTGAATATCTCTTGTCTATAGCTGTAGCTGTATCTGTATCTGCATTTGTATTTGTAGCTGTATCTGTATCTGCATTTGTATTTGTATCTGTATCTGTGCGCTGTTTGAGCTTGAACAATGCGCACACTTTTAATATAGCTGATGGCAACGGCTTTCGTATCGAAGACTTTAATCAGCTGCGACTTGAGCTGTGCCTTTGGCAATTAAAGACAACTGCTGCGCTCATAAATATGCAATAAATATACGCACACACACACACACAGACGCACACACGCACACCTTCACACTCACTTTGCTGCCAGCGGCTATTGCATAAAAATCACATTAACAATTTGCTGCTACAAGAGTATTTTATTTTTATTGCTGCTTGTTTTATTTGTATTTCATGCGGCGCCTCTTACGCTATGCAAAGCACACACACACACGCACGCACACACACACATTGTACACACATGTTGCCAGCAGCAGGAAGCAGTTGCTGCCGGGATCAGTGCTATGTTGTGCAGTGTTGCCATCGAAAAGCGCAATAAAAACGCTTAATTTTTCACTTTTACACGAACGTGAATAACGCCTCCATTGTTGTTGTTGTTGTTGCTGTTGTTGTTGTTGTTGCTGTTGTTGTTGTTGCTGTTGTTGCTGTTGTTGCTGTTGTTGTTGTTGCTGTTGAGTGTGCTGTCGCTTGTATGTAAGCCATTTAAAAGTTATTTAATTTAATAACACGCACAAAACATGTTCCAAGTAAAAGCAAACGAACATAAATATGAGACACACACTCTCGCACACTTTGCACTTGCGATGGCGACTAAAATGTGGCAACAGTCCTGCCAGAAGGGTGTTGGTAAGAGGGGGGGGGGGGGGGCTGTTTGTAGGTGCCACTTCTTGCCGCACAGCAGATGCACATGCATGCGTAGTTTACTCAAATGCATTTGCCAGCATATTTTTATGCACGCATCAACAGGCATTTTTGATTTTATCAAAGTATTTTATTTATATTTATCTATAAGATTGTATTTAAATGTTTAAAAGGGTTGCAAAGTGTTGTCTATATATCTGGAATTATATACCCAATAAGGTACATCCAGCTCTCATAAGCTCCGAGATATGTTAAAAGTGTTTATGTTATACAAGAGATACTAACTCGTTTTGTAATTGTACATTTTCTTAATGTTAAAAAAGATTTTGCAAACGTCAAATATTAGTCAAGGTTCAAAGCAATTCGATAAGACTCAGATGGTCTGGTTAACTCAGGTTGTGGCTCAAATCTGGATTCCTCATAAATGTTTAATTTAATTATAAAAATGTAAAACAATTTATATATTATTATTTAGCTGCCCGTTGTACTGAAATTATTGCCATCAATATTTTCATATACAACTTGTGATCTTTACATAAAATAGACATTTAAGGTTTAAGATAAGCTCAATAGTATTTGGCCAAAGGTATTCATACTTTAGGACTGAGGCTCAAATAAATATTGATTAAAATAGGTTTTGTTTGGGGCACTTTCATTTTTCACCTCTTTGGCTAAACGATCAAAAAAAAACAAAAAATGTTTTCCATATAAGAACCTCGAAAAACTCACCTTCTATGCGTTAAACATTTCATGATAAAATAATAATACCCTCTACAAGGATACAAATATAAATTCTACTTCCGTATTAGAATCGGTTTGGTTCTAAGCCGATTTACAGCCAAGTGAACAGCTTAGATTTAAAATCGATGTGAAGAAAATGCATTGGGATTTTAAGAATAACTAATTATAAACAGATAATAATTAAATAATACTTTATGTAAGCTAGAAGGCAGGTTTCTAAGAGTTAATTTTGCCATAATCATCCGAAACATAATCGAAAGCAGATACTTTATACAATTTGTATTAACAATATTTAATATCAGCTCTACCCACAAATTGTTACATAGTTAAAGCTTTATCCATTTTTTTGATGGGCACGTAACTTTCAGTGCTGGCCAGCTTTGTGTTTTTAAAAAAAAAAACAAATATATATATATATATATAATATTTGACTTTCAATTAAAAAGGCATTTTTGCATTTTAATTGCATGGCGATAAGATTAAATTCACAAAAAACAAACAGTGCTCGGATAAATGAAATATAAATACGCAGACGGCAAACGATATGCCACGCCATGCAATGCTATAGATACCCATTGATATTTAAGCCGCAGCAACAACGAGAGCGAGAGGGAGGGAGGGAGTGAGGCAGAGAGAGAGAGAGAGGGAGAGGGAGAGTGGAAAAAACAACGCACAGACAAAACGCGATTGTCAATTTGTATTTATGTTGCCTGTTTCCGGCTGTTGTTCTTATTTTACAGATTTAACAACAAAGCGTTGAAAAGTGAAAAATCAGCCGCACACAAAGGACACACAGGACACAAATCCGCAATCCGCTTCGGCAAACCAAGGCCAAATGCAATAAGCTGCAGCCACGCACACAAAGCCATCAACAAAGCGCAGTCGAAGCCGTCTCCTGTTACCGCCCCCTTGCCACCCTACCACCCATCCTCCCAGCAAGAGCAACCGCAGCCAGCAGGAGTGGGTAGAGCAGCCGCCAGGATTGCTTTCTTGTATTTTGGACACACGTGCGCCACGGCTGCGCCGTTGCCGTGCCCGTTGCCCGTGTCCTTGCCAGCGCCAGCGTCAATCGGATCGCCTTCGGCAACGGCGGCCACAATGAAGCTGTCAAAACTGTCCAACCAGACGAACTCACAGGATCCGCAGGCGGTCAACTCGCGCATCTTTGTCGGCAATCTGAATACATTTCAATGCTCCAAAACGGATGTGGAGCGCATGTTTCAGATCTACGGCCGACTGGCAGGTGAGTCGCCAAATGCCAACGGCACCATCTCGGCCTAACCCACCTGTACACCTGTACACCCTTCACCCGCAGGCATCTCCATGCACAAGGGCTATGCCTTTGTGCAGTTCACCAACCCCTTCGATGCCCGCAACGCCTGTCACGGCGAGGACGGCAAGACGGTGCTCAGCCAGACGTTGGGTGAGTTTGTTTATACTACTCTGGAGTACTCTTAACTATGCTTAGGGATATTCCATTCAGCTCTTATAAACATCACAATTCAAAATTCATCCCAGTTTACTAGCAAAAGACTTTTCTATATACTAAACTTTCATAACTTTGTGTTTATTGTGCAGATTTTCTTAAAGACAATTTTTTCGGCCACGATCTGAACTAAATTTTCTTGTTTATATGTTTTTCTTGTTAAAATTTATGCCAAGATTTCTACTTAAAGCATTCCAAATTCCTGGAAAGTTTTCTGCAATTGTTACCTTCACTAAGCGCCCTTCCTTGCTTTCATTTTCTATAACTCTGCGAAAACTTAGCTTATTTTCTTAAAGAATATATCTTTATATAATTTATGAATATTTATTTTATTTTAAGATATTTCTTGATATTCTTACTAAAGTTTATGCCAAGAATGTTTACTCGTAACAACTCAATTCCCTACTCAAGACTTAAAACTTCCATTTTCATAGATGTTATCTAGCTGGTCATGATTGAACCTCAAGCTTGATTCTGCGATTTTATTTTATTTCCATTTCCACAAAGGATATCTCTCTGGCTTAATTGACCTTTAGACTAATTCCGGCTTCTTATTAGAGAACCAGTTTCTTATTTTATTTTCTTATAATAATAAATTTAATACCTTTGCCATAAATATCTAGACTGAACCGACTTTTGTAAAAGACACTATAATCTTGGTTCGATCTCTAGATTCAATCCTTCAGAGATAATGCCTACTTCAAATTTCCCGAGTCCCCAATAGCTGCCCTTTTCAGGTTTGATACCTTCATAACTTTGTCAAAACTAAAACGATATTTTAAAGGGGTACATTTTAGGCCATGGTTTGATCTCGAGATCGACTATGCTTTTAAATTTGGCAATACGATATTTGTAAAGCAAGAAATCATAGATTCTTTAATTTCAAGTATGTTATGTTTTTGCTGGCCTTCGCATACACATGAGTTTATATAGAAGAAACTTCAAATTTTCCATCCCTATAGCGCCCAGCTGGTTTGGGTAGTAAATTCTTGGTTAGCTTGAGTGCGCGGGGGAAGGGGTGGGGGGGGGGCGAAGTCTTTTGCATAGACATGGCAGACCTTAACCCTCGCATAGCTGCAAGTCCGATGTGGTTGGGCCGCCAGGTTAATGGCCGCCCGGCTGCCGGAAGCGCAGCACTAAAATCGAACAAGCGCGCGAAAAAACAGCAGCGCGAGGAGGGGGAGGGGGGTTGGTGTGGTAATAGAGCAATAGCAGCCCTGGCTGGAGTTGCGGCCCTGGCATGTGTAGCGGCCATATCTTAGCCTGTCTGCGTATTTTTGTGCAGCGGAAGTCGCTGCAGGCCGCAACTTAAAGTGCGGCCCGACATAAATCCTGCCGCGATACTTTTAATGAAATTTCAATGTTGTGCGGAAATGTGTGTGTGCGAGTGTGCAAGTGTGTGTGTGTGTGTGTCTACCTGGCTGGCTGCCTGACAACTGACTGTTTGTCGATTTAATTTAAGCGCTTAATGAAATTTCAAGCCGCGTCACTTGCAGCTGCAATGCAACAGGCCAAACAGACAGTCAGACAGTCAGATAGACCGTCAGTCAGACAGACAGTTAGTCGGGCGTCTTGGCAATACTTTCGTGCGTGTCTCTCGTGTGAGCGAACAACTTAATGCACTTAGCGCGCGATGTCGGTCGATTCGAGAAATGACAACGCTGCGTATGCGGATGCTGTCATATAATTCATATATTCATACGCCCCGTTGGCGTGCGAATGAATAAAACTTTTACGTGGCACATAAAAAGCATTTTGTGTCGTCCTCTGGCAGCGCTTATGCAAATGCAGCATGCTAATTTCGCGCCGATTAGAGAGGCAGCTTTAACCAAAAATAATAATAATACTTAAATGTGGAAAGAAAAAAAGAGAGAGAGACACAGTCCTCGCCCTCGAGTTGAGTGGCCGCTGTGTAATATTTCAGTGTGCCACGCGCCATTGACTTTTCGGAGACGCCACAGCAATGCGGCCTGGCCGGCGTGTAAACCGATTTGCAGTGCGGCAATGCCTTTTGAAACTTGCGCAAATCCTTCTTACGCTTTTATCCTTAATCTTAATTATAGCCCGCCAGCAGCCAGCACTTCCAGACAAACAGTGAAATTTCTTGAGAAAAAGGCAGCGGAAACAAAAAAAAAAATGCAAAGCTGCCACACCCCAGTCCAGTAATTTGTAGTTATAGCAACTGCGCGCCCTTGCCGCACACACACCCCCAGCTGAGGCTTGTCTTCATTTGGTTTTTTTTCATCCAACCCGCGGCGCACTTCAAACTTTGTCATGAATTATGATGAACGAGCGCGCGGCCACAGAATCCAACGTAAAAAACAGCCTCACGTCGCCCGTCGCACCCTTTTCATTGAAAAATGAAATGTTTAATGCATTCGGGCATGATTTTGACTTCTACTTAGGGCTTGGCATGCGGAGCGGGCAGGGTATTTTTGTGGAGTGTGTTTGCCAAGCAAGGTATGTCATGGGAAATTCTATATAATGCTTGAGATTGGAGGAAAGTACTTTTACTCATGTGATCTTAACTGGGTTAATATATAAAATTGATTAATTACCAACTTTCAATTTATTAGCTGCGCTTATAAATATAAAAGATAAAGCTAACTTAAATTTCTTACTCTGGTAAAGTAAATTCGATCTTCCGTCTTTTCTCAATCTAACAAATTTTGTTAGCTGAAATTCTGACTTTAGTAAAATAAATTCTGTCTTCCCTCTTCTTGGGATTTGAACCCTTAACCCAATCATAAAATAAAATTTAACTAAGTTAATTGCTTGATTCGTCTGTTTCTTAATTCCAACTAATTTGATTCAAAGTTGGATCTATGGATTTGAACTCTTTTTGCACAAAACCAATTTGCAGCCTTGATTGTAATTATTTCTAATCTTTAAGTAGAGCATACAAACTTCGTTTATATAAAAATGTTTATCGCTTTGCCCCTTGTCTTACGCCAAGATTTGGCCGCGTGTTTTTATTAAGATTAATGATACGAAGTCCGATTAAATTATTAAAACGCAGCAAAAAGCACACATTCCACCCCTGTTTATATTTTAATCACTTAGAGCTCAACATTTGCATAATGAAAAATCAACAAAAACTAAATGAAATAGAACATAATAGAAGCCGAAAAAAATGCCATTGTCTAAATTTTACTTAGCATTCACTTCAAAGGCGCAGAAAATGTTTTGTTTTCTCTGTGTGTATTTGGCACAAAGCCGATTTTGCCATTGTTGCCCGGATTAGATGGTCTAAGAGCAGAGTTATTTATCCGATTGTTGTTGTGCTTTTTTATTTAGATTTTCGTTTTATTATCATTGCAGATGTCAACATGGTGGCCGAGCCGAAGGCGCATCAAATTGGCAGAAAACGCCAGAATGTCAGCAAAACGGGCAACGATTGGTGAGTAGAAAAAATAGTAAACAATTTTCAAAATACAATTTCATGCCTCAGATTTTAATTTAAGACAAATGCAAATTGCTTGCGCACAATTTAATGCGGCCATGTGGCGCTCATTTAGAGTTTATTTACATATCATTTAACCGGACTGGCTGGGGCTAGGCTCAAAGTTTTTTGGGGGGTTGACGGGCGCACAAATAAATAAATAAATAAGGCGCAATCCATCAGGGCATGGACACGGACATGGACATATTCGTATTCGTATTCGTGTTCGTATCCTTTGTCTCTGCCACACATAAAATATTTTGGCTGTCAACACTATGCGAGAGTTTTTTGTTGCCAACTCCGACTCCCACTCCATATCCGTCTCCATCTACGTCTCCTTCTGTGTCTGTGTCTGGGTCAGTTGTGTGTTGTTTCGAGTGCTGCGTCAACACACACACACACAAACTGTGAAAAAATGGCGCCTGCCTCTGTGACTCTGACTCTGACTGTGACTGTGACTGACAGCTGCAATGTATGCTATAATATCCTTTTGGCTCCGGCTCGTGCTCCTGGCGCTGACATGTGCACTTGTTTGTCCCTGGCGCTGCCTTAATGATGACTGAGCGAGCTACCAGGCGGCGCATTCACAATTTACTTTTTCTTTTTTTTTTCGACTTGCCACTCGTGTGGAAATATTTAATTTAAGCTTAATGACGCCGAAAGGAAGTGCGTTAAGGCTTTAAAAAGGGCACTGACAGCAACTTGATTGTAATTAAAACGCAAACATTTCTCCTGCTGCTGCCGCCGACCAGGTGGATGGTTGCCTGCCTGGCTGGTCCATGGGCTCGTGTTTGTCATTTAAATGCCAGCTCAGTCCATTGACCGCACACAAACTGACCGTAAAAGCCACAATTGCTGTCGCCCTCCCCCCCTCCCGCTCCCCCGTTCCAGCCACCACGTTTGGGCGCCGTACGATATGAAAACTGAACCGAATATTGAACCACAAATGGATACGGACGCTGGCAATTGTATCAATCACAGGCAACGCACGCAATCAGCCAGCTGATGTGGAAAGGGGTCTCTCTGTGTAGAGGGGGGCGTGGCACATAATTGGCAAATGACAATTGAAACGGCGTCACGGTCACAGGGTGAGTCCTAAACAAATATTGACTGGCAGCCAGGCAGCTGGGCTGACAGACAGGCAACAGTTGGCAGGCTGTTTAACTTTTTTTATTTGATGTGCTGCCACAATTTAGGGCTAGCAGCAGCAAAGTTGACACTTCAATTAGAGCTTTCGGCGCACAATTAATGAGCTTGTCACAATTTAACTGCTTTGCAGGGACTACTTCTATGACAGCTACTGCTCCTCGGCGCTGCTGCGCGGCGGCGGCGGCGGCTCCAACGGGGTGCGCGCCAAGAAACGCAAGCGTTTGATGACCAGCAACAACAGCCTTGTTGCTGCGGTGCAACAGCAGCAACAGCAGCAGCAGCAGCAGCATGGCCAGCATCATCACAGTGCCGCTGCAGTGGCCGCTGCTGCAGCTGCTGCGGTGCATCATCAGCAGCAGCAGGCGCAGGCGGTGCAGCAACAGCAGCAGCACCAGCAGCAGCACCAGCAGCATCAGCAGCAGCAGCACCATCATCATCATCAGCAGCAGGTGGCAGCTGTTGCTATGGCGGCCATGGCCAATTTGTTGCCACAGCAGCAGCTGTTGCTGCATCAGCAGAATCTGCTGTCGAATGCGGCAGCCGTGGCCAGCACGGCGGCAACAACAGCGGCGCCCGGCGCTCTACATTGGTCGCAATACAAACAGGAGCAACAGCAGCAGCAGCAACAACAGCAACAGCAGCAACAGCAACAACATCAGCAGCAATTTGTGGCCGCTGCCACAGGTTTCCAGTTGAAGAGCGTCATCGCCGGGCAGTCAACGACTTCGCCACAGAACGCAAAGTCAGCAATAATTGCTAATCAAACAGCGCTCGTGGAAACGTACGGTGCCTTTTCCCAGCAGCCGTCGCATCACCAACAGCATCAACAACAACACCAGCAACAACAGCAGCAGCAGCAGCAACAACAACAGCAACAGCAGCAATTGGGCTGCCTGCTGCAGCCGTTGACTTTGGCATTGTCCCCACAGCAACCGCAGCCGCTACAATTGCATAGCCAAATGATGCAGCAACAACAGCATCAACAGCAACAACAACAACAGCAACAACATCTACAGCTACAGCAGCAGCAGCAGCATCAGCATCAACAGCAGCAACATGCACAGGAGCAATTAAGTTTGCATCAACACTGGGGACCATTCAAAGTCTACAGTGAGTATTGACTTGATTTGTTTGCATTGTTCGGCTCAATATTGGCAATTTAAGATTCCTGCATTGATTAGCAATTATTTGCTAGCTTATCTCTCATTTAAAGTAACTATATTTAAAATGATTTATTTACTAACGCAAACAATCTATCTACATAGCTCATAGATAAGATTTTGCTAAATTCCACCGACAAAAATTGAAATTGGGCGAAACTGATGTGGAAATTGGTTGTTTGATAACAGCTAGCTATTTAATTGAAGCACTTTTTATTCTTATCAGCATTAACATCTGACATTTATTTTAAATTATCGATAACTCACGTAGTGTTCATTAAATCGATCGTTATCGATTTCCAAATGCGATTTATCAAAAGTAGAAAAGTGTAAAAGATATACGATGACAGTAAGGAGAGAAACCCAATTGATTGACTGAGTGATTGAATGATTGAATAATTGACTGGCTGACTGAGAGACCAACTGATAGACTGACTAAGTGACTGGCTGACTTCTTGACGGACTGACTAACTGATTGATGGACTGACTGACTGATTGACTGACTAATTGCTTAACTCATTGACTGATTGAAAGACTGATAGGCTGACTAAGTAACTTATGATTGACTGGCTGACTGACTGACTGAAGGATTGTCTGACTGACTGATGATAGACCGACTGATTGACGTGACTAATTCACGGACTGACTGACTCATTGACTGATGAACTGCTTCCCAGACCGACTGACTGATCGATGGGATGACTGACTGATTGTTGTTCAAATCTTAAAAGCTAGGACAGTTGAAAAACAAGCCCAGCTGCTACCTGTATACATATATAAGGTCATCTCCTAGTCGGGCACCATCGATAGAGCAAAATAGCTTTGTTAAACTTGTCAAAAATGACGCCTGTTGAGGACGATGAAGCGCTCGTGTCTCTGAAAATGAGAAATGTGTCAAAGTCACAGGCTAGGCGCTAATATATATCATTTTGCCGTTCTGATCGCAACTATCCTGCAAGTCGTCCACCCCGAAGAGCTACAGCCGCCATTTCAGGCACAGTCGCAGTCGCAGCCAGCGCAAAGTTCTCCATTTGCAGTACAACAGCTGCACCGATTGCCGCCCGCTTATCTTAAAGGACTGCTCACCCTCAAGGGCAGGCTGCTGGCCAACAACGTCCAGCTGAGGCCTCCCTTCAACCCCAACAGCCTCAACAACCTCAACAGCCTGAACAGCCTTCAGTGGCGTTCACAGCAGTCGAACGTGGAGCAGAACAATATTCAGCTGAAGCCTCCTCTTAGCCCGAACAGCCCACAGTTGAGCTCGCAGCTGTCGAACGTGCAACATAATTTTCGTGAGGCGATCTCTGATTTTAATTTGGGGCTCGACATGCAGCGGGAGGAGGCGGCCAAGGAGCGTGCCGAGGCCAAGGATCGGCTGCACGAGCAGCTAGACCAGCTGGAAGCGGATCTGCAAAAACAAGATAATCAGCTGCAACAGCGGGAACTGCAACTGGCTGCCCATGTGTCCTCGGAACTGCCACAGCAGCTGGAGCAAATGCATGAGCCAGTGCAGTTGCCCTCCGAGCAGCTCGAGGTGCAGTCCCCGAGCAGCCAGCCGCTGCAGCCGCAAGTCCTGCCACGGTTCATGGGCCTGCAGCCGACAGTGCAGTCGCAGGCGCAACAAGAGCTGTCCGTGCGGGATTCGCCGCAAACGGACGGCAGATCAAATAACGATGCCAAGATGCAGCTGCTGCAGCAGCTAGCCGACGTCTTTGGGCAGGAACAGCAGCAACAGGAGCAGCAGCAACAAGAGCAGCTGAGGCAACAGCAGCAACAGCAGCACCAGCAGCAGCAGCCTCAGCAGCAGCCTCAGCAGCAGCCTCAGCAGCAGCCGCAGCAACTGCCACAAACGCAACCACAACAACGAGTCCGCTTGAATGCAACGCCGACTGATCCAGACGATAACGATGACAACGACGACGACAACAACGACGAGGAGGAAGACACAACGGATGCAGATGAGGAAGAATGTGACAGCACGTTGCCGGCCACCATGGCGAGCACAAGAAAACCCACCACAAAGCCGCCACAGCATGAGGAGACCGTGACAATGCGTGTGGAAGCTGATACAACCAAGGCTCAAACCAAGTCCGAGCTGAAGCTCACACTCGTTCCAAAGCCCCAAACGAAGCCCACAGCCCAACCGACAAGCAGCACAGCTGCAACAAAGCCAACGACCACGGCCACGACGCAGCCTAGTTTCACAACAGCCACCGGGAAGACCACCACCAAGAAGCTCCACTGCTGCACCAGGCCGCCATCCAAAGTGGACAAAGTGTTAAAGCTGCTGAGCATCAAGAAGGAGCGTAGGCAGCCACAGCAGCGGGTCCATCGACGGGCAAAGAGCGGCATCAAACCCGATCTGCGAATCGAAGCAATTGCCACATTGCTGCAGTATCGCAATAGCCACAGCGCACTAGCTCAGACAGAGCATAAGGAGTCGGTTCGGGTGAAGGAACCGGTGCAACAGGTGCAGCAGACACGCCCAGGCAAGAAAAAAAGAAAACAAATAAAAAGGCGTAAGATGATATCACGCAATCAACGCGGCATCGTCACTAGAAAGCAGCTGCTGCAGGCTGAGACCAAAATATGGCCCATTAAGATATCAATTTGAGACTGTGTAATGGACATTTTTATTTACAACAAATATATTTTATAATATACAATTTATGCAACAAAAGCAGATTAGAATTTCAGTTTAAATCATGTTTATTGTAAAGTGCAATGTAACAATTTTACCAGGAGGATAAATTGAACTTCAGTGTAATATAAGCAGAGCATAATATATATACCCATTTTTTCAATTAGGATATCGGGGAAACCAATATTAGAGACTAGTTCATGTTAATAACAAGGCTAGTGATAAATATACCAAGAGGATAAATTGTGCCGGCTTTTCTAGCCTGATTGCAAACTGAGACTTAATCTGTTGCTAATGTGAAGAGAAAATGTCATATTTATTGTGAATTTGAGGTGAATAAATACACCAATAGCTTAAATGCTGGTGCGGTTTCTCAACTTCATTGTAAGCTTATTGTAAGCTTATAATATGTATAATCATTTTATATTGAGCATAATCTAGCAAAAAATTAGCCTGTTTCATAATATGGTTTTTACATGTTTATTCAAAGTTCATCTGAACTTTATCATGAGGATAAATTATGGCGCATTCAAAAAGCTCATTGTAAATTGGAACTTTTATGTTTTCTGGCAACGCCAAAGTCAGCAAAAAATATAACGAGATAAATTTATAAGAGTCGAATCTCCTTGACTAGTTCCACATTTCTCTGTTCCATTGCCGTCAACTTATTCGAAATAATTGCATTAAAGTCCATAACTTATGTGAGTATATCTTCTTTATTCTAGGCAATCCGGACACATTAATCTGCGGCAACTGCCGGGAATGCTTCAACGAGCTGTCTGAGTTATTGGACCACAAGAAAAGTTACTGCAAGCTGAGGTTCACGTGCAAGTGCCAGGATGTGGCCTTTGCAGCAAGTAAGTCATACAATTCCTCACGAGGGCCGTGGGCGTGGGCATGGGCATGGGCGTGGCCATTAATTTATGATTGTTAAACACTTTTTGAGCCCCTTCCCTTCCCTTCCGTTCCCTTCGGTTCGTCAAGTGTCCATGTGTCTGTGTTTATCTAAGGCTCCGGCCTTGTTGCAAGTCAGCAACATCTGTCTGTTGTTGCGGCTGCCTGCAAATTCATTTAAAATTGAGTTATTTATGCGAGTCTAAGCCAGCGCCCAGTACGCAAAATTCCAACTTAAATAACTAATTAATTCTTGCATGTTTCGCCCACGCCAACAAACACGCATAGAAACGCCGCCAACGAGCGCCAAATTGCTTTGCGCCGTTTGCAAGGATGCATTCGCCAATCCCTGGGATTTGATGGTGCACGCACAGGCCGCACACATGGTTAACATTTACGAGCTGGGCGATGAGGTCGTCGCCAATGGCAATGGCAACGGCAACGGCAATCCCAGCCCCAACAACAACGATGCGACTGCAATTGCAGCCAATGGACATGGAATGGCCACGACCGTGGCTGCTGCTGCTGCTGCTGTTGCTGATGATGAGGCAACAACCATAACAAAGCACATGCCAACGTCAGCAACACTTAACAAGGAGCCAAATAACAATAACAAAATTAGCAACAATAACAACAGCAGCAGCAACAACAACAACAACGACACCATCGTCAATGGCCACATGTCACCCACAGCCCACGGCAACAACATTGCCGCCGTCGCAGTTGCAGCAAATGGCATTGATGTTGCTCCCGTCGACGCTGACGCCGACGTCGACGGCAACGCCAACGCCGGCGCCGCTGCGGCAGTCCACGATGGCCAGGCCAGCAGCGATACGGAGACATCGCACTGCATGGACCTGAAGTTTGGGCTCTGCGCCAGCCCCAAGGAGGTGCGTCTAATTGGCCGCCAAGTGCCGTGTCTTTTGCTAGAGTCAAACGCTTTCTTCTTGCAGGATCCGCAGCGTGACGATCTGTCGCTGGATGGACGCCTGTCCAGCAGCTCGCAGACCCATCACTCGGATGACATCAATATGAATATTAAGCTAATTAACGGTTCGGTGTCCTCGCGCGGCAGCTCGCCCGGCTTGGAGTCGGATGAGCCGCCGGCAACACGCGCCTGCATTGTGCGTACCCTGAGCATTGTGAGTATGGGCAGAGCAATTTGACATTATAAATATCTAAATATAAGACAACTGATTGATTGTCTAACTGAATGACTGACGGGCTGATTGACGTTTAGACTCGCCGATAGACTGAGCAATTGAACTGAATAGCTGATTGACGGGCTGACTGAATGACTGACTGATTGATGTCTGATATATTGACTAATTAACGGAGTGACTGACAGATAGGATTATGGACTGACTGACTGGCTGACTGATTAAATGAGATTGTCGTGGCTATTTGACTGAATGAAAACGGAATAAGCAAGAGATGATTGAGGGACCGACAGACAGATTGGATGATGGACTGACTGACTGCCAGACAGATTAAATTAGATTGACGTGACTGATTGAGTGACTGATTGGCACATTGACTGATTGATGGACTGACTGATAGACTGAATGTCTTAGTGACTGATGAAGTGATTGGTCGATGGACTAGCCGACTGTCTGACTGCTTAGCTGACTGACTGATTGAATGACGAACTGATTGTCGGACTGACTGACTGATTGATAAACTAACTGATTGGTGGTCAACGCACCGACCACATCGTAAGTGCTGGAAAGCTGTAATTTTGACGGGGTTTTGGAAAACTACACCCGCACCCCATCCGATCGACATCAAACATATTTTTAGTGATCTTTGCGACAACGGCCAAGGCCCCAACACTTGCCTGAATCATAGAATCATATCATTTTACGCACTTTTTGGAATTTCCCCATGAAAAACATTATTTCAATCGGACTTCTGGAACAACTATAAACTTTCGTTGTTATCTTGTCATATTTTCAGGAGGCTGCTGGTGCTACGACCACGCCCACTGCGAATGCCTTGAGCCTGATGTCGAATGGTCTCAGTTTGGCGCTGGCACCGCAATAGGCCAACAAAATATATCAATCAATCAGGCTGGACTTAATTAGAATCAAAAGCGTGTGAATCAGCATCCAGATATATTCAGAATTTAGGTACTATAATGTGCAGATAAAAACGAGTATTTTAAATACTCGCGTTGCTTTTGGCTTTGTGTATTGAGAGTGTAGTCGTGAGTGCGGTGCAAGTGCAATTTATTCAGTATTTTTGTACTAGACTTAAACTGAGAAGTGTTTAAACCAAAAAATTGAAAAAAAAAACAAACAAAACAAAACAACATAAACGTAAATAACAGCAAAACATATCATTTTAAATGTAGCAACTAGGTAATACAGTAGCTATAACAATTACAACTAATTAAATAATCTATATCTATGTGTGTATGTACCAAATACTACTTATATATGCCTGTCTTGTCTTTCTGTTCGTTTTCATTTTTGTTTTTGAAGCAAAGCATATTTTGGGTTTCAAAACTGCATATGAGAACATATAGGTAAAAAAAAAATATTTAAATTGAGTATACAAAAAAAAAAAGCTGGAAATAGTCCTCGAAAGTTGTTTAAATACAGTTTTAGGGCTAGTTAAACGGCATTATGTAGGACAAATGAGCTTTGTATATAGTTACAAATAACAAATGAATTAATTATTGTTAGCTGACGGACTAAACCCAAAACTTATATTTTATATACATAACATAATTTAACTAATATTTAATATACAAATATATTTAACAAGCCAACAATATTATTATTCAAAATACGTACCATGTGTATCAAATGTAGCATAGTGACAACAGGTGTTTCAAAAACAACAGCAAAAAAATGAAAAACTAAAAAAACCTTTTGCAAATGTCCCCAACAAAAACCAAAAGGCTTAAAAGTTATAATTACATAAACGGATTAATATTTAAAATTAATATATACTACTTACGTACACAAATAGTAGCTGCTATGTAAATAGTTTAGTTATATACCACAAATTAAAAACAAATATATTGTAAACAGTAACAACATTCAATTCAGTGTCCTCCAGTTAAACATGTAAACAGGCAGTAAAAAAAGAAAGTGTATTTAATAAATGAATATTATAAAAAACATCAATTTGAATTGTTTGAACTTTGGTTCACAAGAGCTGAACCAAGGTTGCAATGGGGTTTGAACCAAGCTGGTTCGAACCCTAACTTTTTTACTATGAGCCGGTCCTTTGATCGGATTAGTTGAATAAAGAAACAGATAAACATATTTTGCTTAAAAATTTTTCAATATTATGTTTTTTAAAATTTTTGAATATTTATTTGTTTTTATTTTGATTCTCTATATGTGAAATATGAGATAAATTCGTTAAACTACATTTAGTAAATTACAAATCGAATTGTTTTATTATAAAGTGGAAATAAAATGGTGCGTCGGGCTTCTAAGCCCGATTCCGGAATGTAAAAAAAAAGGAAATTAGGGGTTCACCCCGAGGAAATTTGTGCTTGGCTTACAGCACAGAGAAAAACTTAAAGCAAAGATCAAAATTCTGAGGAAAAGTGAAAGTTGTTCAACAAATTTCAAATGCAAACAGGCGGCAGGGACTCTCCGGCGGAGTTTTCAGTTTCGGAACACATTGGAAATTCTATTTGGAAGCTCATTAAAATAAATGATGATCAACTGCACACGACGGCGACGCAGTCTGTAAACAGGACAACAACAAGGACAATGCAAACATTGTTGAAAGCAAAGCGCCACGTTAATGAAAAGCGCCAACAAAAGGTGAGCCAGAGTTGGGAAAGGGGGGCTGGTAGGGCCCAGGTTGCTCGTCCTCCAAAACTTTCGGCACACAATGCCAAAATGCAGTTAACTTTATTAAAATGCGCAACGAAAAGGGCTCGCAGCATGTTGTGCAACTGTTTGTTGTCCTTGCCGCTGGGGCAGGAGCAGGAGCTGGGGCACCCAAACATACGAAGAGAAAAAGCATTTTTATTGCCGCTTAACTGCGGCTCCAGCTCAACTGCGTCTGCATCTGTAATGTGTGCCCGGCCGTTTAGTTTCTGTTTCGAGGTCGAGCTAAGCGCCTGCGGTCGAGTCGAGTCCAGGATTTAAAATGCATGACCAGGCGGAGGCACTGCAGCAGCCGCTATTCAATTTGGCCGGGGCTCGGCAAAACTTAAAGTGCGCAGCGGCTAATTAGAATGCCTCGCCCAGTTGCCAGTTGCCGGTTGCCGGTTGCCCCAGTCCAGCAGGGCGACTGCCGCAAAGGTAACATTTAGCCAGTTGAAATTACGAGTGGCAGCTCCCATTGGGTTGGGTACCTGGTCGCAAATTACGCGAGCTTAGCCAATGAAGTAATTGAAATGACACCAAAAACTAGCGTGAACTAGCAACATTTCACACCATTCACGTTTCACACGGCGTATGCGTGATGCGGCAGCTGCGTGCGTTCCTCGGGGGGTTCGCAGTGCATCCCAATGGTATAATAATGGAACGCCCGTTCAGCATAAGCTATATAAGGCGAGCAGCTGGCGGCCGCTTGCCTGATTCAGTCAACGTAGCCGGAACGCGTCGGTCATGTCGTCGAACAGCACACAGCCGCAGACGCCCATCAATGGACTGGAGGTGCCCAGGCAGGTGAATCTTGGTGCGCTGGCCACCTCGAATCAGTGGAAGCGTGCGGCGCTGATGGCCAAGTCTGCCTCGGCCTGCCGGGAGACCAATTCGGATGACAGCGAGGACGAGGTGGACACCAAGCAGCAGATCAAGTACGGCAGCGGCTTCCAGGCGGCCAAGGCCATCATCCACGAGTACTGCGACTACAGCACCATCCATGGCATCCGTTATCTGGGCGAGAAGAAGCGTCCGTGGTTGGAGCGTTTGTTCTGGGTCAGCGTGTTTATGCTCTCGATCTTCACCTGCTGCAAGCTGACCCTCAACATTTGGGACAAGTGGAACAACAATCCGGTGATTGTCAGCTTTGCGGAGAAATCAACGCCCGTCTGGCAAATACCCTTTCCCTCCGTCACCGTCTGTCCGGAGACCAAGTCACGTCAGCGGGCATTCAACTTTACGGACCTCTATTGGCAAATTCGCGATTTCCGCAACAATGTCAGCGGTGTTGCCGATTTGACAGATAAGCAGTGAGTAAATTGCCCCAAGGATATACCTAACATTTATAAGTTCTTGGCAGTTAATATCCCAGAAGTATCCGAGTAGAGCAAAAGCTATTTTGAAGGTGTGCTAATAATGATAGGAACTGAATCTTATATCATAACTAAATTTGTAGCTGGCATTATTATATACCCAGCGAAAATTGTCCTTGGTCCGTTTTACGGTTCGAACCGATTCTCTCCTTTCCGGCTAAGTTCGTGAATCGCGATGCCTAGGTTTCGGTTCAAACTTTGGTATATATGATATATAAGAAAATATATGTTTAACCGTTTACTAACACAATTTCAATTTTAAATTACAATTGCCCGTTGTACTGAGAATATTGCAAGCCGTAAATATTTTCATATACAAGATGCGGGCTAAATTTAATTCCTACCCAGAAATTGCATCTACCAAAAAAGGTAGCTAAATGCGATGCTTGGTACCAGAGTTATTTGTACTTTGGTTGTGATTCTCCTTTAAAAACTTTAATTAAATTCAGTTAGGCCTAAGGTTCAATTCATAGCTAAAAATATATTGAAGAACCGAAATGGAGTCGGTTGATTCTTGATTCAATTATCATTTTGCAGTCTTGATCTGTTTCAAAGTTTTCCTTGGCATTGTTATCGATAGAGTTGACAGCTCTAAGCTATAGAATATCTAATATTAAATATTAAAAAAATATAAAAATGCATAGAAAATCAACTTACGGCGCTGTGAGTCAAGTGTGCGATGCGCCTTTGCATGACATCGACTTTGGTAACAAGACCCGAAAGGGCATTGAGATTATCGATGCACTCAGCGAGGTGATACCCCTCTTTGATGAGACCTATTTGGACTGTAAGTGGCGCAATGCGCCCATCAAATGCAACGAGATCTTTCACAAGTTCGTCACCGAGGATGGCGTCTGCTACAGCTTCAACTCGCTGAGTCCCGCCGAAATCTTTCGTGCCGAGGGGTAAGTTGCAATTGTTGCAAGTAGAAGAGCTCCAAGCTCTAAGCTGCGGATTTCTGCAGCATCATACCCGATATTATATTCCGCGAGGAGAATCGTCTGGCCACGGAGTGGAATGTGGAGGATGGCTACAGCATTAGCGCCAACACCGAGACCTATCCGCATCGTGTTCTGGGCCCGGGCGCCAAGGCGGGCCTGTATTTGTTCATGGGCGGCATTGAAGTGGATTTCGATGACATGTGCCGTGGACCCGTGCAGGGCTTTAAGGTGGATAGCCTCGAGTATTTGTGATTGCAATTGCTTCATATATTCCCTCACAGATTCTCCTCCACACGCCAGGTGAGGTGGCGCAGGTTACGCGACAATACTTTCGCATACCCTTCGATCAGGAGGTGCTCATCTCGATACGACCCAAGATTATCACCACCTCGGATGGCCTGAAGCACTATGAGCCGCACAGGCGGCAGTGCTACTTCCAGAAGGAGCGTCATCTGCGCTACTTTAACATCTACTCGCAGACCAATTGCGAGCTGGAGTGCCTGGCCAATTTCACGTTGGCCAAATGCGGCTGCGTTAAGTTCTCCATGCCGCGTGAGTTCCGAGCTGCGGCTCGCTGCTGCTTTGATAAACTAATGTGGTTCCTTCTACTGTGGCAGGCAATGTGAATGTGCCCGTTTGTGGAGCCGGCAACTTGAAGTGCTATAACGATGCCGAGGATGAGCTGCTGCTGAAGGAGTTCGAACAGGGCATGGCCACCGAGGGCGAGAACTATCGCGGCCAGACCGACTGCAATTGCCTGCCCTCCTGCACCTCTATAGCATATGAAGCGGAAATTTCGCAGGCTGATTTCGATTACAAGACAGTTGCCAGCAAGGACAAGGCCGAGGGCGAGGAGACAAAGCGCGAGGGGTAAAATTCGGACGGTCTGGCCTTCTCAACTTTCACTCAAAATCCTGAACCCTTTTTTTTTTGTATAATTCGCAGCATGAAAATGTCACGGGTCTCGATATTCTTCAAGGAGG